GAAATCCGATGTACAAGGTTTTATTCCTTCTTCTTGCTGATCAAGTAAGAAATTTTTTCCCTACAATAACAGACTTACTAGACTCTTGATTCCACGAGGCGATCGCTGACTCTGGGTGTAGAGCGAGAACCGCTTAGCGTCCGGAAAACGTTTAGAAAACCGAGAGAAATCGTAGGAAGTCTCTTAACCACAGGTGGAAGATACAACATAACAACATTATCGTATCTAAAATGTTGTTTTTTTAACTAAAATCTACAAAAACGCGGATTCGTTCTCCTCAGCAGTCTTCGGATTTGTGCAGCGCAGAGTGCATGACGCAATGGAATAATAATTTACAGGCTTAGTTTGCTAATTTGAAATGATAATTCAAAGCAATGTCAAGGATTTCTCCAGTTTACATTAATCATTGAACAATAACAGCAGAGTGATGCTATTGCTAATGTTAAAGTCTTCACCTTATGTCAACTTGAAGGAGAAAAAAGTGCTGTAAATGCGTGCGTGCAACAAGGCGAAATCAATTTTCAGGTCATCAGTCCAACAACTTTAAAATCATGTGAAGACTCCTTGTTGAAGCTGAAGGCAGAGCAGTTTCACTTAGAGCGAACTTGTAATTTCAAATGTCAATGGTATAAGCTACCAGAGTGGCAGCTACCCCTTTCCGTAAATGGGAACCACGTTATCGGGCTTTTCCCATAGCCATTGATTTTTTTTACAAAGAAGGCTTCGCGCGTGATAAATTTGGTTGACATTTAACCAAATTTATTACCATTAAACCTATATAGTTTACAGAAGTGATTCAAAGGCAGTGCCCGACCAAAGTTGGAGATTTTGAAATTTCGGAGCGATAATAAACAATCTCCTCGGACCGCCATTGCGAAGTTGTGAGATATTAACGCTTGACCAAAAACAAGAAATACTGTCGAAAATTTAGGAAACTTTCGCCTCCGAAGTGGACCCTTCACTGATTACCAGCTCCACCGATTCACAGCGCCGCAGCAAGTACGCTGCCACTACGATCAAAGTCGTAAGGTCCCGCAACGACTCTGCGTCTTAGCTTGATGGGTACTGTCCCATTATCAAAACAATTGGTAAGTCTTCGGGAAGCGCATGCTCGATTTTAGCGCTTTCTAACGTAGATTTTCAAATTCACCGCTGCCGCGGATAGCTCAGATAAGTGAATGTTAGGAATCGATTTTTTGCCCCAACACTGCTTTTGTGTCAGATTAGTTACTTATCCGAGTAACGAAGGCAATGCTTCTAACAGAACTCCTAATTCTATTGTTTGGTAATTATTTGGAGTGGCATTTTCTTTCAAAACAAAAAGGAGTCAAAGGAAGAGCTGGGTGACTCGCTGTTAGAACAAAGTGTAGAAAATGACCATTTCACTTTTGTATCTAGGAGGCGTGTACATTTCTCGATTAACCTTGGTTAGACTGCTGTGTGAGATAGGAGAATTGAAGAAAGTACAACAAATTGCGTGGAAAACGAGAAGTATCTTAAGAATTCAGTTGAGCTCTTGTAGCTTACGGACTTTTCTACAAGGAACATTCTTCTATCACTATCGCAACCGAGCAATGACTGAAATTTTCGAATCTTTATTAGGGTATAAGTTCTTGAAACGTCCTTCAATGCAACATGCGGACAGCAAGCAAGACTATGTGTTAAGAATGTGAGGCTAATGCAGAAGCTTGCAAAACAGAAGCGTACAGCAGTGCACATATGACAACTTGCTAAATGCAGTGAGGTGACCAGAGAAGTGAAAAAGCTCAAACAGAGGTTACAATGACCTTACCTCCAACTCTTCATGCGCCATTTCCTCATAAGCTTCATCAGCTTCATAAAACCATGAGACCAACAAGAAAAGGTCGAGTAATTAATTTTAAGGCTGGCTTCATACTGGTCCATAAGTTCCAGAAGTTCCAGCATAGCGCTCGAACAGTGCTGCAACAGTCTGGAACTTACAGATCGATATGAATCCGGTCTAAACTAGAAACGCTGTAATTTGCTTCAACTTTTAGTCAACCTACTTAAAGGCAGTACCCAGGCAGCTGCCCCGCTACCGTTCGTGGCGACAAAGTGCAGTGGTCTGCGTGCTTTTGCGCGGGTTCAAGAGAGCGATGGATATCCACGAAATAGCATAGGCCGCTGCAAGTCGTATGCCAAGTGCGGTATCGGGGTCTGGTTGCAGATGAATAGCTCTGCCGCTAAGACACCATCGACACTGCCAATTTGTCTACATTATGTGGACGCTGCCTTTAAGAAAGCCAGCTTGGTGACAGAATCACTTCAGCTGCAATGAGTTTTGATTCTATTACGGGTGAAAGTGCATAGGGCGACAATACCAGTGCAGTAAGAAACTGCGGAGAGACAATGATTGGTGAAAGAGCAAATGGCGAGAGAATTAAGGGAGATCCTGCCATTGGGGTGAGAATAAGCGGATTAAGAACCATAGGACACAGAATGAGCGGCGAGAACACTTGAGGTGACAGAATTAGAGGGGAAAGTACAAGAGGATTGAGTATTAGCGGATCAAATACTCCCGGTACAAGAATGAATGGGTTCAAAACCAGCGGTGATAATATTAGAGGGGAAAACATGATTGGATTAACGATCAAAGGTCCGAGCACACGCGGAGACAGAATCAAGGGAGCAAAAGCCCAAGGGGACAAGATGATAGGACCAAGCACTGACGGGCAAAGAATGGCGGGAGAAAGGAGCAATGGCGACAAAATTATCGGCTGCGATAGCATTTCTGGTTGTAACACCACCCATGTAAGCAAGACCGGAGACAGGATAAGCTGCTTCCGTCTGGATAAGCCGAATTTCTTCGCTTCTGCTAGCAAACGGATTCTAAACACTATGCTTGTACTGCTATCAGCAATAACAATTCTGATGACTTTCATGGTACTGTTGTGAAATAGAGGGAAAGATTTGAAAAAAAAACACCAGGTCAACTCTCGCGCTGGAATTACCCAAAGCGAGGCATAAGTGTCTGAAGAGATAGGTCTTTGGGATATATCTACGGTGATAGCAAAACTTTTTTTGTAAGAGTAAGAAATATTTGCAGTACGTAGGACTCGTCAGCTTCGAAGAGAAATATAACCTTTTGGTAGACACATTTCACACCATAAACCACGACGTTTCAATCCAGGAAATTCTGAGCTGTGGCCAGGATTTTTATGTCAATAATCGTGTGCCTATAGTTAAAATTTATCGTTATGCTGAGCATTCCGGGACGCCACGACGTCATCCTAGGCAAAACTAGTGGCCAATGCAGACCTTAGACCAGAACGGGAAACCGCGTGGACTTCAAAACCTTGTTAACTTTTGTATACCCAAAAATCTAAATCGAAGCAAAGGGAAAAAAGCGAGACGAAGAGTAATTTTTAATTCACACCACGCATCAAATTTTTTTATATAGTAAGGAAAAAGCTGCCATTGCGTATCCGCAAAAAAATTTGAAGTTTATGCAAAATTTCGTTATTATTAGACAGTCGAGCATATCAGGGACAAAAAATCCCAAGTCGAAATTGATGTGGTGAAAAGCCGTACCCCATGTTAAGTTTGAGGCTCATTTGTCAACATTAAAGACAGCGTCCGGGCAAAGTTTAGAACAAAATTTTCTTGCTTACCCTGGCTTATTCTTCCCGCTGATTGCAAAAGTGCAGCTTGCAAAGTGCGGAAATGTCAAAGGATTTACAGAAGCTGAACATGGATGAATATGAATATGGATGAATATGAATTTTGAATATGAATATGGAAGCTTGCCGCTGTGGTTAAGACGCAGGTCGTGGTGGGACCCTACTCTTTACAGTGTGCGATATGCTTAAAGGCTACTGCATGACGAAGGCGCAGAAGTGATATTAGTTGAGCGGGCGCGAACGCGGCGCGCGTAACCTCATCGTATTCAACTTGCCTCGTCGCTCTGCGGCTAATAAAGCCGCGTTTGCGCCCAACGATATTGCGCCTTCGTCATGCAGCAGCCTATACTTTGGCTATTGATTGAGGCGGTCAGGTCGCCACTTTGAAGCGGGCTTCTCGCTTCAGAAGCAAAGTGGTGCAATGTCACTTGGGCAAGAGCTTTATCACGGCGGGAATGTACGCTACGATTCTGTATCTATCCGGACGCTGCCTTGAACAATTGCGCGTTCATTCAAGCACCTTTTCATTATTGAGATGGCTCAACGCGTCCCATGACTTTTTTCTAGATGAGCGTGCTCGGAAAACTCCTTAGAAAAGCTATTTCTGAAGCGGTTTCACTTTTGATGCATTTAAAAGCAAAAAAGCAATAAACATTTTCTTTCGAACAAGGCGGCAAGTCCCAAGCATTGCAAATGCTTCTTACTAAAGACATGACTGTACAATAAAATTGGGTGTACGATTATAGAAAAGCAAACGGATTGATAATTGTATCCACTAAGTTTTTTAAATTATTCGTTTTTCCCTGTTCAAAATCGACATTGGAAGCCACATATGGACTTTAAGCTTACATGTGCACGAAACAGCTAATCATTAGATAGTTTCAAATACAAAAAACAAGATAGGGCGATGTAGCTACAACCATGCGCTGATCCTCTGGTTAAAATGTTTCGCTCAGGAAAGACTTTTTCGCATAAACAATTTTGAAGAGAAACACAGCAGGAGATTTTAAAGTGATACAACCAGAAGTTTGAGAGGAATTAAGATTGCACGTGCATAACAAAGCTTTGGTTACAGTGAGCATACATGCTTGAAATTGGTGCAGTGACTATTAACCAACTGAAATTTTTAATCAAATCAGATCATTCGTTCTTGGTTAGAATTCTGGCAGTGCGTAAAGCGTCTTTTATGTATAGCAGCTTTCAATCATCTATCAGTAGGATTGTCAAATTCCTTACATTAACTTGTTTGAATTTTGATAACATGCGCTCTGCTTACTGCAGTCACTGCCTCCGTCATGATCTTCAATCGTGAAAGAAAAAGCTTTTCACGTCACGATCACCTTTGCTAAAAGTACTTACTCGCGATCTATCAAATGATGAGGATCGTCTCGGTAACGTCGAAGTTTCGTAAATAACTTCAAAGAATCCGACTTGTTGTACGGAGAATCTGGACCGTAGATAATATTTAGCTGTTTGGTGTTCAGAAAAGCATAGCCGAGCCGCTCCAGATCATCTCTCTAGATACACTTGTACATGACTATCACCCAAGAACTTTTTTCAAACCTGATCAAGAGTGTAGCTCCTGTCCAGCGCTTCGAATGTTTCGATCTTTCTTCTTTCTATATCTCCAACAATCATGGTGGCATTTTCTTTCGTGAAGTACAAAGGTACACCGTCTTCATTGAGCATTTCTCGATCGCGCATGCCTTTCTGCACTTTCTCAACTTTATCAACTGCATCAGTGACACCTGAAAAGAAAAGAGGATAAGTTTGATGCCTGGTCTTCTTGATGGTCTTTCCGTAAGTTTGGCTATGCTTGCCATCAAATGTTGCTGGGGTTAGCGAGGTTCTAGACAGCACATCACGCATAATTATAACTATGAGGTCCTACGACAGCATGCGTTTAAGGCACGCGCCATACTTAATCCGCCTAATTTACTTGTTCCGTTTCATCATTGGTCATTTCAGTGAACTGACCTAGTGAAGCGGTTGTCCACTTGATCCGCTTGATCCACTTTATCCCCTTCACTACTGAACAGTTCACTGACTTGACCAATGACGAAGCGGATCAAGTGGATCAATGAATTGAGCGGAAAGTATGGCGTATGCCTAACAGTTAACAAAAGCTAGCAATATGGCCAAAACCGTGCTTACAGACAACTGGAATTTATTAATCGCTGCTTACTAACTGCTTTACATCAAAGCTAGCCAATCAATTAAGATCTCCATACAGAGTCAATCGTGTTCCTTTCTCCTCAGCGCACATTAGGGATTCAATTAAGAATCTTTCTATTGAAAAAGTTGAGATATGCAAAAATACTTGTTCTCAAGCTGGACACATTTGAAAAACTCAAAAGATTTGATCTGGTTTAGAAAAAAGGTTGAAGGTTTGGTAAAGTTTGCAGAGCAAAGCGCCCAACATAAATCTCCACAATCGCGCTCAGGATTGCGGATTCGATTCTAGGTGTCTAATCCGTAGGCGAGTTTTACTGCTCAATATTGAAGCGACATAGGGTTTCTGAGTAAGGGCACTCAACGTCCGTTTATCAAATATAGATATGCCTTGTAAAGTAGTTCGAGTAAAGGCTATCCCCCTAAAGCAACATACATTCAAGCCCGACAGTGCAGCACGATGAGCAAAATATATGCAAGTGGAGCAAAAAATTTCAGGACCCATACACATCGATGGCAAAGCCTAAAAATGGCAACTTCATAAGTAACCTAAGCAGTCAGGTTCTTGCGGAAGGGGGCTTACGAGAGGAGGGCGCAGCGGGATGAACACAGTGAACACTGGGACAATTAGCTTTGACGAAAATTCTTGCGACAGGAGAGTGCTAATGCAGCGTAAGTCCCAACTGTGTTGGTTCCAAAGACGGATCATTATCCCTTCAGCAGCTATGGGGGCTGTGAACACCAATAGCTGCCACGCGGGACTTACACTTGCACGTACGCACGAGATGAGAGCAACCTCAAACTTGGGTAATTAAACTTTATTATTAGAAAGGTAAACAATATTATGCGTTAACGAAACATCAAAATAAACTAACCCTAATAAACTAATCTAAAGTCACCTAAAGGACCTAAGCCTAAACTAGCATAAAGAGATGCAAATGGCTAGAGCAAAAGGACTGTGAGAACAAGGCAAACAATCGAACCCACTACAACTACGAACAGTGCAAGCGAAAGGATATTCAATACTGTGACGTCTCTATGAAGAAGAGAATCATGAAATAATGGGACTGTGAATAAGTAGAAGATGAGCAAACTGTGTGTAGTAAAGCTTTATCATGGCAAAAGTGACTTTTGGGTCTGTGGCTGTGTAGTTTATCCAAAAGGTCTGTGATCTGCGAAGCAAACAACAAACAAAGTAAGAAGAAGAATAAAAGGAACAAGAGAAGAAACAAAGTAAGAAAATAAGAAAATAAATGTTATACGCATACATTGAATCTGTCGTGTCTTATTATCGACTTATATATCGGAAGCATTGGAATTATAAACAAAGGTCATCGGGTCTGTGAAAGCTACTGATAAGCTGCAAATGATGTTATATTTCTTCTTTCACATTCTCCGCGGCTCAAAGAACAATACGAACATCGAGTTCGTATACTCCGGCCTCGGCTTAAGAATGCGAGGGACCTGGAATGTCCTGACTGTGAAGAGTGAAGTTTCTATCATGAGTAATCATTTGCAGCTCCCGTCGATAGTTTTGCACACTTTCTTCAAGCTCCCTTTGGCGAATCTGTAGCCGATCCATTTCGTCCGGCAGTGGACAAATCCCAGCGTGATGGTCGTAGGCAGTACTTCGGCCAACATTTTTGCAATAGAAACATGATGTTGATTTTGGGCACGCGTTCGAATGACGTTCGAGACAGCGGTGGCATCGTCCTTCGTTGTCCAAGATGGCTATGCGGTCTGTGATTGCAGTCACCCTGGGGCACCCATCTGAGTAATGTTGCCCGAATTCCTTGCAAAAGATACACATGATGTTCTGGCCTGCCTTCAATCCTCCATCACCTATTCTTCGTACCGGGCACGAAATCTTTCGCAGCTCCGTCTGTGTTCTTTAGAGTTCCTCCTCATAGTTGGCCAGAAGCTCCTCATAGTGATGACGTCGATCCGCTGTTTCCTGCCCCAAATGCCTCCGTTTGCGATCCTGTGAGTGATCGTAGTGCTTCCTGCGATCGCTATCCTTCCTTGGTCTACTGCCGCCAGTGGATTGAGAGCGTCTGCGTCTTCGACGGCGATCTTTCGGAGATACCTCCTCTTCACGATGTCTAGGTCTTGCCCGCGAAATCTCTTCCGTCAGTTGACTTAAGAACTGTGAGTTTCCTTTGTCTCTCCGGTCCGTTTCTTCCTTGAACTGAGCACCAAGTCCTAGCAACTGCTGTTCCAGGCAGGAAATCCTCTGCTGTAGTTTTCCGAGCTGTGAATCGAGTTCTGCCTTTACGTCCTTGGTGCACTCCTTTCTCTCTATCGACAATTGTTTTGCATTCTGATTGTAGGCCTCTTCAATCCATTTCCGAATATGCTCGTGTTGTTGCCGGACTTCGCGCTTGAGCTGTGAGATTTCGTCTGCAAGGTTCCTTATATCCCGACCATTTGCTTCGGTGACTTCCGCCTGACGCGATCCTCTTTGGCGTTGCCACTCTTCCGTGAAGGCTGTGAGCGTTTGTTGAACTTCCTGATAAGCCCTCATTTCTGCCGCCCTGCTTCTGGTGGTTTCTTGCTCCACATCATGTAGTTCTTCTTTCTCATCATGCGTGAGCGTTTCGTACCCTCTGCGATAGGTTTGGACGATCCGCCCAACGTCATCCTTTTCATAGCTGTGAGAGACGGCTTCCGGCGCTGGGTAACCTCGGTCTGTGGGTCTCGTGGGCCTCATAGTCACATGTTGCCCAATCGCATCCAGGTACATCACACGATCGATTTCCTGTGCATCTCCAACTGCGACTAGTATCTCGTACCACTCATGGGCCAAGTAGAACTGGTCCATCCAGTGGGTCAACTCTCTCAACTCATCTAGATGCTTCGCTCTCATGTCCTTCAGCTTCAGGATGTAGTTGATTGACTCCTTGACCGTGTACCTCATTTCCCAGCGATTCCCTTTCAACTCGATATAGTCCAGCTTCGCTTGCGTCAGACGGTCTTCAAAATCGTAGCATTTGTCGCCGAAATCCCTGATCCGCTGCTGCACCTGTGCCACAGTGGGTTTCGCCGGTGACTGTTGAACGATGGTTACTTTCCTCTCGATCTCCTCTCGGAGTCTTCGTTCGAGCTCTGGGAAGAAGTCCGCCATGTCCTGTGAAGAAGGAACATTAGAGGTGAATAACCCTGGGTTCAATCTTCCCCTATGGCTCTCTTGCGCGGTAGATCTCGACCTGGAAAGCCATGCCATTTGGTCTGCAAAAGAAGCGTTAAACATGCAATCGACACATCACCACCGTGCCTTCCGGCCTCGGCAAACAACTTGGCTGTGTTTGAGTTTCTGTGACCCTTTAGCCTTGTGATCTATCCCTGGCTTATGTCTTTATGAGCCGGTGGTGATTATTTCGGGTGTTCGAAAACTTATCAGTAGCTATCATCTCCGTGAAGGCATGCGTAGTACTCGCCGGTGTTGTTCGGCTATGTTTTTTCTCGCCGACCTGCGCTGGCTGGTGTTTGATCTGGTATTACTATTATTATTATTTTCTATATTTGTTGTTTTTTTCTGTATTTTACTCATTTATTTATTCAATTTCGAGGTCGACATTCAGGTAGGTTCCTTTTATTTTTAATTAATTTTTTTGGTTTCGAGGTCGATCTCCAGGTGGGTTTTTTTTTTGTTGGCCCTTTGTCCCTTCGGCGACTTCCCATCCTTTCCCCCCCCCCCCCTTTTTTTGCAATAAATTTGTACATAGGAATGTTTTTTGGGGGGACTGTGGAACTGTAGAGGGAGTTGCTCCATCAACTATTGGCGGTGAACCCTCATGACGCGCTTCTCGATTATTGGGCGGGCTCCAAGGGTCTTCAGCCCTTTAACGAACAAATCCAAATGACCTCTGTGGGACTGTGAATGGAATGGGCCGCTTGAACGAATTGTTTGGCGGCGAGCCCCGTGTATGACGAACCATTTTACATTCCACCTCTCCGCAAGAAGTTAAATGCGGAAATTATAATGGGCCTTCACCAGTCCTCCATTGTGTGATATGATCACACTGAGAATTCGCCTAAGAACGGTGAGTGGAAAAAAAATTCTTTTCTTTCCAAGGTACCCACACGGAAATGACCTTATCGATGATGGCATGTTAACGAGGAAAAAAATTTGAGATAGGGGCATCGTGCCAAAGCAGGATGTCGACTGTAGACACGAATTTCTGGACTCAAGATCCCATCGCTGAATATGATGTCTTCGATGCACTTAAACGCTACTTGCTCTCCATATATATCGAGGCAAGGTAGCGTTGCTTATGAAGAACAGCTGTTGTTTCTACCAAACAGGAGCCTGGATTAATGAAGCGAGAGGAAGAAATTCCGTCGTCTACTGCCTCATAAGAAACCTTTTGATATCCCCATCTCTTCCGTTCCGTACAATAAAAATTTGTGGGAGAAATATTGTCCCTTGTCGTGGAAAAGAGTGGGCTGTGTACTCCATCATAATGTTCAGATTTTCCAATTTTCACTTTTCCCAAGGCACGACGATTACGATTCCTTTCATTTATAATCATGTTCAAGGTGCTAGAGGATAGTCCGGGTGCCGCTTAATGAAATG